GCAGGGAGTAGGGATTAATGAGTGGGCCTACATAAGCTACTGTTGCCAAATTCGATTGGCGCTTAAGACGATAAAAAGCTAGCGGGGAAGGTAACTGTGTCAGGACAGCTGCCCAGCCACAAAAACATCCGACATACACCACCATCAGCCCAAGTGATGGGAAGTAGGAGTGCTGTCTATGTTGTTGCCGTCACAAGTAAGGAAGAGGTATGAACAATACCTTGTCATTTTTAACGGTTCTCAGGGCGAAGACGGTATAAACGTCGGCTCGAGACCCATTAGTGACCCAGATTTTGCGGCCGTTGAGCACGTAACTTTTTCCATCGGGTGAGAGGACGGCACGGCATTGCAAAGGCTGCGGATCGGAGCCGCTAGACAAAAGAAAACCAATGATGGGTCAATAGTGTGAAATAGGGCGAAACATTCATTGAGCATATAGCTAACAGCCGACAAGCGAAATGATTAGGCAGCTACCAGGTGTTGCTGACGTTGTATAGACAGTAGGACCGACATGACAGGGCGTGCAATTTAAATTATGTGTGGTGTGTACGCAATGCATCAGAAGCAGTTGATACAGCAAAATTTCGTACCACTGTAAAGTTATTTACCAAGGTATATAAACGAAGAATTGGACGAGGTTACTCAGCTTGTTTTCGAAGTTCTCGCTGATCATCGTATTTCGTAAAAAACGGTTGCCAATAAAGAAACTCCGTGATTACAATGTCATGTCCACTCTCTATTATATCTGGAAGGCAAATTACTCGCCACCTCATACTTAAAAGTTAACTTAGATGCAAAACTAACAATGAGAAGCGTTTTGAATCCAGAAGTTGCTACTCTAGTTTGTAAAAACTCAGAAGACGAAAAGTCAGCTTAAAGCAAAAAATTAAGTGTAGAAAACATGAGCACAGACGGTGAACTTTAGTAGAATAGAGCGAAACACCCTTAAACGACGTACATTTAGTAAACACAAGCATTTCTCGCTCAAAGCAGATACTTCAGTGGAAAAGAGAAAATAACAGACACCCCACCTGCTCGCCTCAGCCAGACAGAAAGCTGCAATCTTCTCGCCAGTAGCCAAGGTAGGAAGATATTTGCGTTTTTGCTCCTCAGTGCCTGCCAGTTGGATGGCCTAAGGTAGAAAAAGGAAACTTATGCCCTTGGGTTATAAAGTAAACAATTGGCAACATTTGACAGGTGCTTGTGTGTCGAATTACTTTCGTGCCAAGAGCTTCGTGTGCCGTCAAGGTAGCAAACAGAGAAGCGTTGAGACCCATGGCTTCGGCGACTCGCGTGGACTCTAGGGCATTCAGACCGATCCCATTGTAGGAGGAATCCATGCGCTGTCCGAAAAGGCCAATATCCCCGCAGCTCCGCAAGATTGGGTCAGAAATGCGACCCTGGAGGTCGATTTGGGCACTATCAACTGGAAACCAAAGAAGTTAGCAGCAAACAAGAGAAGCCCCTCATGTTGATGATGAAACGATTTGGCAGAGAGCCATAGGAGGTGCAGCGAAAGATGTTTAAAAAGGCCCAAGATCAGGGTTATCATTCGTTCTTGAAAGAACGTGAACTGCTAGGTAGCTGGAAAGTGTATGGCGATCTACCTATGAATTTTGAGGGGGAGGGGGTTGGATTAGAGCGGAAATGACGGTTAGCCCCCATGACGGGCTAGATTACTCAGCTTGGCAGTGGAGTCTTCTCTAACGTGCTGTAGATAACACAATACCAGTTTATGCTACTGAGAACTCAGGTTAAAAAATATCAGCAATTGGACAAAGTGAAGGTCACCGTGTGCAGAAAGTGCTTTTGTAGTAAGTAGCTCAGGGCTTATTTGTGCTGTTTGGGACCCAGATCAAGGAAGTTACGTAGCTGACAGCAATAGACGGCAAGTGCATAGTATGTAGTCAGGAGCAGCAACAGATAACCTGTGGAAGATGTCTTACGTGAACGGCGGTACTAGGGGTTCTAAGAGGGGGACCTTTAGACACAGGAAAGAACTTAACTGAACAAAGTCTACTTAAATACATTTAGTAGCGAGTCTTGTAGACTAAACTCATTACGACTACACATCATATCCTATGAACGATTGTGTTCATAGTCGGAAAATCTGCTTTTTGGTTCTTATCTAAGCACACAATCTAGTCCTGTTCTGGGACTTCTTTGAAAATGTGGAATTCGGGCTTGATTGTATAATGGACTCCTCCGAAAATTCTACTTGGAAATAAACGCTGCAAGCACCAGGATACGGGCAGATGGCTCCACTGTTGAATGAAATGTCTCTTCCTGGATGCTAAAGGGCCTGAACAAATCAACTTCTTGTTTTACCTTAGTTGCTTTATTCCGCCCATGTGAAACACTATCCCTGCGAACAGTCGGAGTATTTGCAAGCTACCGACTTCAGACAATAGCACGGCTTTAACCGAAGGTTATGGTCTCAGGTGTTGGTCTACAACACCTCTCGGAGTGATTCCCTACCGATCAGAGGGCTCAGTTAGGCGTTCTGTTGGCCTGAGTGGAGCCCATTCGCAACTCATCTTCTTCGAACTCCTGAAGGAATTATCTGCGTCCCCGCGACAGTGGCCAATTGAAACAGTGGACCGAATTGGCCGAATTAGGGCTGAGAAATGGGACTTGAACAACGACTGGTGAAAATTTAGCTGTGAATTGTTGAGTGTAAACTCCACTGGTGTACAAGGCTATGGAAAATGGAAAGCAATAGGATGTTACTAGTGACACTCTACGCGGAAACAATCAAGTAAGCCGACAGTTTAAGAAACAGTCCGATGTCCAGTCAGGGAGAAACAGCCGTTATTAATATGACGGCCTTTATTGGTCGTTATGGCTTAAAGGCACGCTGGCCACGAGTGTGATTCTACCAGCAGGATAGGGGAAACTTCCTGAAATCTAACACATCAGTCTTTAATATTCGGTCTAGGGAGTACTACCGTATAAGCTGACTTTTTGGGCGACAAAAAATGGCTGACAAAGTTGCCTCCTATAAAAAGAAATGAAAAGCACTGCTTGATATCGAGAAAAGCTTTCATGAAGAAAGACAACAGTTCGGTTGTTGATTGTGGATCGGAGAAAGTGACATTCGAACAAAGTATCGGGCAGAAACTATATATGACAGATAAGCTGAACTTACGCGAGGACACAAAATCTTCTACGTGTTCAAACATCGAGTTAACATTCGAAACGTTCTCTTTCGTAGAAAGTTCCGGGTATTCCAAGAGCTCCTGTACGTAAACAAAGAGGAAAAGCAACGACAATAAAGACATTGAAAACAGACAGTCTTCTTAAAAACATGTAGGGGGCCTGCGAATGCGCATAGAGAGTGGTAGCGACAGCCCAACGCACTTTGTTTACTATAAAGGATCCGACGCGCTTAAAGCTATCACGGTGCAATACAAGCCGTGTGTTGCTAAGGTGCCAACTGAAGGGATAACTCGGACTAACCTTGTGTATGTGTATGTGTG